CGCCCCGCCCCGCCGGCCGCACAGCCCGGCCGCGCTGCAGCAGAGAGCTGCCACCCAGCCCTCCCCGACGCGTCACATCCCGGCCTGCCGAGGCGGGAAGCCTTCAGCAGGACCAGGAGGGCCTCCTGGGTCGCACAGCGAGACACCCAGGCTGCGATGCCTCAGAGGCCCCAGAGCAGGCAGGTGGCCCCACGGAGGATGGATTTACTGCAGGGAGGCCGCGCGGGGCACGGAATCAGGTCTGCGCGCACCTGCTGGCTCTGGGCGCCAGGTATGCTTTAGCCCAGGGTACTGAGCAGTGGGAACCTCGGCTGCCTACTTCATAAAACAGGAACTGTGGCACCTGCATCAGAGTTGGGTGAAAATTAATTTCATGTAAAACTCTTATTACACGGCCCCTAACATACAGTAAGCTTCCAATCAACATTGTTGCTGCTGCGCTGTGAGGTAAGGAGCCACCATGTACTTCATGGCCAGGGGAAATGCCTCGCCCTGCAAGCACCTAGGGACCCCACTGGAGTGTTAGCTATTCTGCTATTGGAGTGCACAGAGTGCGGGAGCTTGTCAAGGACACCGTGTGGGTGTGGAGTTGGATAGGTGAGCCCCCTGCCCCTGGAGTTTGTACCTTCTTGTCCCCAGGTCAGATATTCTTTTTTTCTAAGTTACAACTCTTTGTTTACCTTCGAATCGGACTCTGTTGAAACATTCAGGAACTTCTAAGATGCTGTCACATCTGATGAAACCCTGTAGGAACCATGTCAAAGCCACACTGGCGTAGATGGGTGGACCCGCTGACTGCTCGCTGGAAGGCTTTAAGAAGGAACAGGTTCGCATAAAGGGCCTTAGCGTCTGGTCGCCCTAGTCGTGTGTTTGGAGAGAAAGGGGACTTTATGAAAACGGACAAAAGCAAAATAATGGGTTTTAGACGTGAGGGGGTTCTTGCACCTTGCTCAGTGCATTCTACGGAATACAGCGTATTGGAGCCTGCTGCACCTAACAAGTATGCTTATGGAAGCCAGTTTGAAGTATGGCTTCTGAGAGAAAAAAGACTATTTTTGAAACAATAAAAATTCCAAAACAACCAACCAACAAAAAAAAAAAAAAAAAAAAAAAAGAACAGGAATTGAATGGGAAAATGTTTTGGGGGCTAAAAGTCAATATTTTAATAATTAAAGTTTTTTCTGCAGCTACTGCTTAGCATGAATGGTAGTGTTGTCACCCTGTAGGGTGTTACAGGGTGATGCTCATGGCCATGGTGCCCCTCTCCTCCTAGATGTAGGTCTACTGCCCATTTCCTTCTCCCTTCCCTTCCTTTTCTTTCTCAATTTCATTTATGCTCAATTAATTCAAAGGGATGACTTGGATGTTCTACTGATTGCCTTTTCTGTACTTCTCTACCTCCTCCACTCTCTTGTCTGATCTGATAAGAATTAGGACTCTTCTAGAATTCTTGTCCAACAATTGTTCATCAGAGTGAAGAGAAGACATGAATCTAGTAGGGTATCCTTAACATTAATTATGAGGAAATGGCAAAGAAGAGATAGTTTACGGCCAATAACTCAATGTAACAAATAAATAAAAAAATAAACCAAGTAAAAATTATCTTCCTAAAAATTATAATCCCAAATTTTAAGCCTCGAAAGAAAGTCATTCCCATACTACTAGGGTGGGCTGACACAATGGTTAAAATCTGATATTAGAATTATAAATTTTTTTTTAATAAAAATAGTACAATTCTTCACCTACTGATCACATTTACATTTCCAGTGGGATGAATTATTAGGATCTATCACAAATAACTGACTGATATCTTTTTTTCCAGGCAGTGGAGCGGTAAGGCCAAAAAGAAGGGGAAATCAACATGGTCTTAAGAGTACAGCTTAGATTATAGGTTCATTTGGAAAATGGTAGGCATTTATGAAAATGAGTCTCTACAACCTAAGCTAAATAATGAAACTTATGTAGATTTGTTGTATGTGGTATCGAACTTAAAAGGGGAAGATTCATTTGTTTATCGAGTTAAAAATTGTTACAATAGCTTTGGTTGTTCTCAAGTGGCTTAAACCACAGTGATTCCCACAGCATAAGGGATCCAGTCTTTCCCAGCTGGATGGGAGATTTCCCAGGAAGAGGGAAAGAGAGGAGGTGGGCGGGAGCTAAATGGCTAAACACATTCTCCCATCTCCCAGACCACTGGGTTACTCTCCAATATGTCCCTTGGTCCACCCCTCTATAAGTTCCCTCCAACTCACAGAAATAAAAACAACTTATAATAAATTCATAGAGGTGTATTTATCTTCTGACTATTATTATTTATCATGCTTCTGATAAAAGGGCTGGTGTTTAGATGGTATATTCATATGCCTGGGGAATAACAACTTGATAATGGATTAGTATTTGTGAATAGGAAAGTTTATATCATGTTGTTCCTCACTCCGTTCAGCACAGCATCTAAGAAAGTTTGTTAATTTTCTGGTTCATTGAGAATTACATGTGAATCATCTTATGAATAAAAATATCTAATTTTTTCCTTTAGAGATTTTTTTTCTTTTTTCAAACCACAAATGTGTCATCTTTTTTCCTTTGTACCTTACATTAGTTTTAGTCAGGGATTTGTTTTACAAACTGCCTTGGTGTTAGCTGGTTATTCATGAAAATACAGTAATTATAACTTCTTGATCTCACCCTGTGGTTTAGTAATATTTAAAGCACGTGGACTGAGCCAGGTTTCTCAGCCTCAGCATTACTGACGTTTTGGACCAGATCTTTCTTCATTGTGAGAGGCTCTCCAGCACATTGTAGGCTGTTTAGCAACGTCCCTGGCGGCCTATACCCACTAGATGCCAATAGTGCTTCTCACTCACGACAAACAAAATGTTTCCAGATGTTGCCAAATGTCCCCTGGGGGCCAAAATCACCTTTGCCCTACTTTCCAGGCTGAGAACCACTGAATAAGCCAGTGTCCTGTGAATTGAGAAAAATTATGTTCCAGTTCTTCATTTGTAAACCCATGCTTAGTAGAAATCTCAGGATTGTAATATCAATTTATTAGAAATTCCAGGGCTTTTTGAAATGAAACTTCAAGATACTTGTCCATCATGTGAAAATTTCAGAAGAATCCATTATCATTGATTAATTACAAATTTTCAATACAATGCTGGTGTTATTCAAGGATATGTATGCCACCACCAAGAAATCAAAAAGAAGCAACTGTCAGGTCCAGTCTACCTTGCCGGCTTCCTAATACTTTCCTCACAAAGGTTGGAAGTATTTTAGTCATTATATCTGAAAAATATAGATCTGGAACTTCTTGACCCATAAGATTCCATCTTAGAGATCTACAATTCACAGGTTTTTTGACAATCATCAGCAACTGAATAGCTTTGGCAAGTTTTAGGTGACCCTAACTGAGACGTTCACTGACTTGTTAGTGGACCAGCCAGGCAGTTGCTTACCAAGGCCTTTAAACATGCCTTCCTCGCCTTGCTTACTGTCAACAAGGACAAAGTTTGAGAGATTCAGAAAAGCCTGCATGACCCACTCTCTGTGTGGCACAGTGGACTTTGCATAAACTGGTCCCTTGTCTCCGCTCCTTCTTTATCAATGCATCTTTTCTTCTCCTTCCTCCTCAACCCTCACTCCTACCATCCCCCCAAATGACAATACAGAGGGCAGACTCCACAAAGAAGTTCAAAGAAACAGATTAAAAATATATGTTATTAAAGTTATTCAATAATCAACTTTGTGCAATGGTGATTGTAGGCATTCAATGAAAGTTTGTTCTATGTTTTTTTTCTTACTTACCACTTGTCTTTTTGTCCATATTTTATGGAAAATAAGCCTTGTACTAGTGAACCTGGGAATTTTTAGTTTGATGTTAGGGCACAGTGGGTTGTTTGTAATTGGTGCCCACTTGACTTTCTGTTTCAAGTATCACCTGCTCTGGCCAGAAACCTCTTTTCATACACATGAATTTCCAGTATTAACTTTTGCTTGAAATGCTTGGCTATTAGTAATAAATGAGGAAGATGGGATACTCTTGAAAATTCTATACACATGATTAGAACTGATAGGATAGGTCATTCCAGTCTCACTCAAAACAATGTATGACAATTACTTTTAGATTTACTTTATCCTGTTTTCCATAAGTAAAGGATGTTCCTGTTTAATCTTTTGAGTATCCCATTGATTTCTGAAATACTGTATCTATAAATAAGACATCTCTCTAAGACTTTGATATTTTATCTTTCTGGAACATGAAATAAGCATTAATTAACTTTTGGCGAGCACTAACTTTCAAGTTAAACTCTTAGTAAGTACAACTTCCTCATTTTCAAGTAGAAACATGATTTCACAAAACCCTCAGAGTTAAATGTTTTCCAAGTACCAATTGAAAGACATGCAACAGAATTACTAGTTGCTCAAACAACAAATCTAGACATCGTTTTCTTGATTTGGCATTTGATTTTGTACCAAAAAATTATTAATGCTCAGTTTGAAGTTGTGGTTTCTATATAAATTTTTCTTTTTGCAAATGTTATTCTATTTATGTTTTTAGTTAATGCTAATTTAAAAAAATAACAGCTAATCTGCATTTGCTGAAAAAAGAATGGAAAGATTTTTAAACAACAAGTTTTAGCCTGATTGCGTATTTCCAATAGAAAAATACGAGCAAAAGCACAGAATGCTTTCCACCTGGGTCTTGTAAATTACTGTTTTGGTGTCCATCAGGTGACCTTCAATGCTTG